CAACAAATATGAACCCTTTTGCATATACAGTACTGAGTTGTCAGTGAAGGCAAACATGGGTATATGGATGGATAGATAGGTGGACAGGCTAAACAATTAGGTATGTCTAAATGGGGAGTGTATCCAAGATCATATATAGGGTTGGCAGACAATGGTTAACTAGACAATGGCAGACAATAAGTTAACTAGAACTAGGAAAATATCTATCATTTCAGTATAGAACATTATTAGGTGGTAGATTTTGATCAATGATAGTTAAATTTGATACAGAGTTATGTGTGCAAATAATATGAATTGGGAATAAAAGGCAGACATTATGGGCAGCAGTGTCAACAGGATCGGTGTTACCCAAAGCAGTAACTCATGGTGTTAGTCTCTGTCCCATAGACTTTCTCCCATACCAGACCATACAGTATTCTCAGTAATGTTTATTATCAATTTTAATCACAGGATAATATGTGGTAAATATAGTTATAAATTACTTACATGTAATATTTTTTAGATTACATGAATACTAACAACAAAATTGTTTTGTCAAATATTTTTACATTGAATTACCTCATTAGTTAGTGAGAGGAAGCCTTTTTTTTTTTTTTTCACTTTTCTCCTTCTTTTCCTTTAATTACGAGCTCTGGTGGTACAGTGGTTAAGCACTTGACTTTTAACGGAAAGGTCAGTGTTTCAAACACACCCAGAAATTTACAGCCTTGGAAACCCTTTGGGGCAGTTCTACCCTGGCCTATAGTGTTGCTATAAGTTGTAATCAACTTGTTGGCAGTGGGTTTGGTTTGTTTGTCCTTTAATTACTACTTCATTCACAAAGAAAGTTATTGATAAAAGTTCACAAATACTTATTACCACTATATTGTAGCTAACACAGCAGAAAATTCACAAAAACAGTGAATATAAAAACACCAGTACCAATGAAAACAATAGCAAGTGCTTGTAGCACATGCAGAAGCGCATGATTCCAAGTGTCTTAGTTGGTTACACAGTGCATTAGAAGTTTCAAAAAGTAAATTAAATTAGCATAGAGTTTTAGCCTTGTAGGTATATTGATACACGTAAGCTTAGCTTACTAAAAATGTTTTTGTTGTTATAATTAACTACAGGGATATTTTTATAAAAATAATAAATTTCTGCTGAAACACTGCACAGAAATTTTATACAGTCATTTTGGTGTCAACCCCTCTGACTGTGGCTGCTGGTTTGGTCTGCACTCCCCCACACCTCCCATATCTCCCTAGTGATGCCACTGATCAAGGGGTGATTGGTCAAAGACCATTTGAAGGAGTTTATATTGTCTCTAGGGGCAGTGGAAGTTCAATGGTAGAATTCTCACCTTGCATACAGGAGATCTGAGTGCAATTCCTAGCCAATGCACCTCAGGGCAGCCAACCACCCTCTGTCAGAGGAGGCTTGCATGTTGCTATGATGTTGAACAGGTTTCAGAGGAGCTTCCAGACTAAGTCCGACTAGGAAGAAAAGCCTGGAGACCTACTGAAAATTAGCCAATGAAAGCACTATGGACCATAATGGTCTAATTTCCTTGTGCATGGGATCACCATGACTCTGGCCCATTCTATGGCAGCTAACAATAATATACACTATTCTCTTAATAGGAGCTCTGGTGGCCTAGTGGCTAAAGCATTTGACTGCTAACTAAAAGGCTGGCAGTTCAAACCCACCAGCCACTTCTCGGAAGGAAGGTTGGAAAGGTTGGGCAATCTACTTCCGTAGGGATAGATACCGCTTGGGAAACCTGTGAGTCGGATGCGACTGGAGGGCAATTTGTTTTTATAAACTTGCTTTTATTGTCTTAAAACGGCTTCAATTTTCTACTTTGGTCTTTTGTTGTTAACCATAACTCTTAAGAACGTCAACTTCCTCATGAGTCTTCAGAAGTAGGTGAGATGCCTTGTTTAATTTCTACCATCAGAAGTTTATTTTCAACTATATTCAAAGTACTTTGTGTAACCTTCCGTGACAGGAAACAAATAAAATCGAGTCTCAGTTTTCAATCAGCTTACCAACATTTTGGCTTTTAAAAAGAAAGACTCCCCCCCCCCCCCAAAAAAAAAGTCTCTATCACAACAGATTATTTAGGAGGACAGGGGAGCGGGTAGGATCCCAGGTGACGCAGTGGTTAACTGAAAGAACTCACCAGCCGCTCTGCAGAGAAAGAAGTGGCAGTCAGCTTCAGTAAAAACCCTCCGGGGGAGTTCTATCTGTCCTATAGGCTTACTAAGAGTCGAAATCCACTTTATCTCAATGGATGGTGGAGGGTGTGTGTGTAGTTTCGTTTCTCACAGTAGCCACCTACAGTAGAGAGTGTTAGGTTTATGACTGACTTTAAAAACAGTCAAAGCCTCATTGTCCGAATCCGCATTCTTCTATGAGATACTGGAGTCTCCTTAAGTTCTAAAACTCTGGCTGCCCGCTGGAACCTGGGGCACTCCCCTCCCATCCCTGGGAAGAGGGTTGCCTGCCCCAAAGGCGGGAATTCCGTTCCAGACTCCAGCCCCGCCGTGATCAGCCCCACAGCGCCTCAGCGCGCACCTTCGCGGAGATCCGCTGTCGATTGGTAGCGCCTGCGCGGTGCGCGCGTAGCTCGACTAGCGCTGCCTCCGGGGAGGAGGTGCTGCCGCCGCCGCCGCCGTCGCCGCTGCTACCGCCACGGACTCAAATCGTGAGGAAGGGCCTAGGCCCAGGCCTGGTGTGTGGGCGCTAGCAGGCGCCTGGGCTTTACCACTGACGTGCCCTCTGCCGCAGCTTCGCCTGCTTCACGTCCTAGTTGGGGTAGGCACGGGGAAGGCTTGTCGGAGCCATGGAGGACGAGGTGGTTCGCATTGCCAAGAAGATGGACAAGATGGTGCAGAAAAAGAACGCGGTGAGCGCGGCGGGGCTGGGCAGGCGGTGGGGTCGGGAGGGAGGAAGAGCGCCTGAGCAGTCGGGCCTGGAGGGACGGCGGGCGGGCGGCGGGGCCGGGACAGCGGCGGAGGTAAGGAGGGTGGCGGTGACTGCGGCGGGGCCGGGATGGCGTCTGGGCGACGGGGCCGGGTGATGGCCGCCCCCGCGCAGTTCCTACGCGCCCGCGGACAGCCTGGCCGGGATAAGCTCTCTCACTGGTCCCTCTGTCTTCCTTTCCCGCCACACGCGTGAAATCTGCGTTCTGGATAAGGGGTGTACGTCCTGTGTCTAAAGGCGTTAAGATCCGTTCTTGCTCCTTTGAAGTCCCCAGTTAGTACTGTTTAATAAGCCTAATCAAGTTAGAGACTAGGGCACGCTTACCTTTTTCTCCTTTTAAATTTAAAAATTCTGAAAAATTTCTGGTAATTTAATGTAACTATTTAGATTAAGGATTAGGAGAGTATAGAAAGCTCTCGCACTTTAAAAGAAAACATACTCCCTTCTGTGATTGTTGGCAATTAGAAATTGCATTAAATAGAGGTTTGTGATTTGCTTTAAAACATCGCGTTTCTATATATAATAAAGTTTAAAATCCTTAGATTTTATTTTTGAAGAAAAATAAACATTCACTTAATTACCTCAGCTATACTATAGTTTTGTTTAGCAGTTAAAAAAAAAAACATGCCAGTGTTATGGCACATTGCTAGGCATTTTCAAATAGTCAGTCTTGCAAGGTGGTGTAGGGTACGTAAGAGCTCCGATGACAGCTAACCAGGGTGTGATTGATGCTAGATGGATTTGGAGAAATGCTATTGCTAAGGTATTTTTTAAATGGTTTACAGTTAATATCAGTGGCATTATCTTGTTATTGATACTTGCCTATGTGAACACATTTTTTCATGGTTTGTATGAAGTAGAATGTCTTCACTTTTGATATTTTTGTCCACCTATGTGTGCCACTTTCAGGCCTTTGTTTCACAGTCATCTGTTTTCAGGTAAACATCCACCTGAATTTGTTCCACCAGGCTTAGTACACTTTAAGTTCGAATGTAGCTGAAGTAACTTATTCCAATCTATGAAGTGAATTCCATGTCAAATTGATATGAAAGAGAAAAGAGATGCTCTGTTTATGTTTGTCACACTGATTTGTACAGCTCTTTAGAGTTACAAAGCATCTGCAAAATTCTTATGTGACTCTCACAACATAGCTATGAGTACATTTTCCAGATTTAGAAACTGAGTCAGGGAGGTTAAGTAGTTCATCAGTACTGTGTAACCTGAATTGAGCCAGGGCCCAGGTTTTCTACTTGATAGCATGGTTCCTGTTAAGAGTGCAAAGTAGTGTTAACACTGAATTCTTAAGACTTCAGACATGTTCTGTTCCTCTTTTCCTTAACAGGTGCATTGTTCAGCATTTAATTTCATACCCTACTAATCTATATTTGCAATTTTGGCCCTTTAGAGTATTTTCTGTTTGTTTCCTGTTCCAGCTGTGACCTATGCAATTTATTTTTCTGTTGAAACAGGTTTTTCATTCCCCCATCCCCCTTCATTGCTAAGTGATGAGTTCTGAATGTTTCTGTGATTTGATTTGATTTGCTGATATGGCTGAACATTTGGTAGTCTGAACATTTACTTTCTTTAAACTGGAAACATTTTTCTCCCTGTCTAGAGATCCTTAGAGTCCTGTTGTGGAAACTCCCAGGGAAAAAAGCCTTTTGTTGGATAATTTTTTCTGAAACTCAGGCTGAGTGTTCTTTAATCCTCTAACACATTAGATGTTTCTGTCTTTCTCCTTCCCCACCTCCATCCCTCTCCCTCTCTACCTTTTTCTTTCCTCTCTCTCTCTCTCTCTTTCTTTGTTAATAGATGTTTCTTAAGAGAAATAATTCCTTATGAGCAGGTACAGAAAAGACTGAAAAACCCCAAATCCACTGCTAATTGTGTTGATGTTGCTCATAGTGAATAGAATTGCCCCATAGAGTATCCAAGCCTGTAATTCTTCATGGAAATAGATTGTTTCATCTTTCTTCTGCAGAGTGGCTGATGGATTCAAACTATCAACCATTTGGTTAGCAGGTGAATGCTTTAATCACTATGCCACTAGAGCTCCCATGGAGAAGACTAATTTGTATTTATTTGCAGTTCCCAAGTTATCAGCATATTTTCAGATTTTTAGTAATGAGTCTGAAGGAGAATAAGGATAAACAGATAATCCTTAAGTTCCATTTTTTTGCTTCAAATTTAATTTTTACAAATACTTCCAAATTTTGCCCCATACACAAAATAGTAAAATCGACTGGCCTGGCTCTTTTCCGAACCCCCCCCCCCCCCAAAAAAAAAATCTCATCTAGCAGTTTCAAAAATTCATGTTGTTGTTATGTGCTGTCGAGTCAACCCCGACTCATAGTGACCCCTCCTTGGGTTGCCGGGGCAGTATCACTACCAAAGTAGATTGCCCAACCTTCCTTCCCAGGAGTGGCTGGTGGGTTTGAACCTCCAGCCTTCTGGTAAGCAGTCAAGTGCCTTAGGCACTATGCTACCAGAGCTCCTGAAAAATTCATGTAGTCAAATGAAATAAAGAGAAACGGAAATGGTCTGAATGACTCTTTTCCCTAAGCACCTTATTAGCCCACAAAGTCACATTCTTAAGTGTTCAGTAATTTAGCAGAAGTTTTGGAGATTGTAAAATTATGGTAGATTTGTTTCTCTCTCTCTCTTTTTTTTATTATTTCAGGATTTTCTCTCATGCTATTTTTTATATTATTTTTACATTATGAAATAGTAAACTTTTCTTGAACAGCAGTTGCCATCTGAATTGACAAATTTAAGAGCTGTTTTTAAAAAAAAAACTGCCGTCGAGACAGTTCGACTCATAGCGATCCCTCCTTTGGTTTCCTAGGTGTTACCTCTATGGCAATAGATTGCCCAGTCTTCCATCTGAAGAGTGTCTGGCTGGTTTGAACTGCTACCTTTCTGATTTGCAGTCAGATGCCTTAGGCACTGCACCATCAGAGCTCCCTTAAATAATAGTATTAACAACTACCATTTCTTGATCATACTTTGAGCCAGGTATTCACCTAAGTTATATATCTTATCTCTTTCTTCAGACAACTTTACAAAATAAGTATTATCCCCATTCTAAAAATGAGGATATTAAGTTAAGTGAATTTTTCTGATAAGCTGTAGAGCTAGAAAGTGGCCAAATGAAGATGTGAATCTAAATCTGTTTTGCATCCAGAGCCAGGACTAACTACTTGGATGCTCTATACTGGCTCTAGAATACTCTTGCATCTGTTTTTGAACCATGCATAGACATATTTAAGTGATAAGAAGAGGAAAGTACTTGTGAGGAAGACAGGCTTCCCTATGCTGCCCCTAGTGCAACCCAGAATGTTGTCATATGCTGCCCCTAGTGCAACCCAGAATGTTGTCACACGTGTGTACTTGATCTCAAACATTGTTCTTAAATGCTTTGCAGCTACAAATTCTGAGACAACAACAAACAATATAAGGTACTTTGAAATTTTCAGTTCTTAGTTATTTTTTTAACTTAGATTTTTTTTTCCTTGTTGTGTGTGACTCTTAGTCTGAGTTCAAATCCTGACTCTTCTGAACTTAAGCTGTGATTTTAGGCAATTTCCTTAACATATCAAGAAATGTCTTTCTTGATACTAAATTGGAGATAATTTAGTAAAGAATAGAAAAAAGGCTTGCCAGTGGCTATTACATAAAAAACCAAAACAAACAAAAAAACCAAAAAAACAAACTCAGTGCCCTTGAGTTGGATCCGACTCATGGTGACCCTTCCTTGGGTTTCCAGGCGGTGTCACTACAGAAGTAGAGTGCCCAGTCTTTCTTCCAAGGAGTGGCTGGTGGTTTTGAACCGCCAGCCTTCTGGTTAGCAGTCAAATGTCTTAGGCACTATGCCACCAGAGCTCCTTAAAAAAAAAAAAAAGTCTGGAGTTGTCTTTATGTTTAAAGGATTTAGGTTGCCAGTTTAAACTGTAGAGGAAAGAGGGAAGAAGGAATTTAGTTTTGAAGTTCATGAGAAGATTTTGTGGGTTCATTTATCTTTTCACTGAAGGTTCAAGGCTGAGTGAAATTAAATTACAGTGAGAAAAACTGAAATTAGATATTAGAATTTCTTAGGAGCTGAATTACTTGAAGTTTTTACATTTCTAAGTCTTATAGTATCTGTGTTAAAAGAAATAACTTTGGTATCTATATCAGAAGCAGATCACTAGGCCTGTCTTTGAAGGCACCACCTCTGGTGGTGTAGTGCCTATGGCGTTTGACTACTAACTAGAAGGCTGGTGGTTCAGACCCACCAGCCACTCCTCAGAAGGAAGGTTGGGCAGTCTATTTCCATAGTGATACTGCCTTGGAAACCCAAGCAGGGGTCGCTATGAGTTGGGTCCAACTTGATGGCACATAACAACAACAGTCTGTATCAGAGTTAATTAGCATAAACCAAAATTTAGAATGACTATAACATTTTTTATAACAGCTTTACTGAGATATAAGGAGCTCTGGTGGCGCAGTGCTTAAGGCCTTTGACTGCTACCCAGGAGGTTGGCGGTTAAACCCGCCAGGTGCTCCGCGGAAGGAAGATGGGGCAATCTACTTCTGTAAAGATTTACCACCTTGGAAACCTAGTGGGGTCTCTATGAGTCGGAATTAACTTGATGGCAGTGAGTTTGGTTCTGGTTATTGATACATGATTCACATATGATAAATTTTACCCTTTTAAAATATAGAATTTAATTTTTTTCCCATATGTTCACAAATTTGTCCAATATAACCAATGTCTAATTTTCGAATATTTTCATCACCCCAAAAAGAAACCCTGTACCCATTAATCAGTCACTCCACATTCTTTAACAATCACTGTCTATAGATATGCCTATTCTGAACATTTCATATAAATAGAATTATACGCCATGTGGTCTTTGTGTCTGGGTTCTTTAATGGGTTCTT